GGAACCGGAACCTGTACCCGGCATCATTGCCACCCCAAGTCCAACGAGTGTACCTCCCAAGGGTGAGATTTGAGCGTGGAAATCACAAAAGAATCATCCGAACGCTGTTGATGGAGTTCTCAAGACGATTTCCGATCTCACGGTCCCAGGCTTGTCAGTTTCTGAGCTCTTGGCAAATCTCACCATCAGTAGCAGAGGGGATGAAGAAATGGGTGTCGAGGCGAAGGGTGGAAGTTGGTCCGGAGGAATTGAAGGTGTTGTCAGGAACTCTAGCTGAAGGACCGGAGACAAACGGACAGCTTGGCAATCTACGGCTTTACTCTTGTCCTTTGGGGTATTTGCCCTGTCTGGTTGGGGAGGACGAGAGCACGGCAGCCCCACTAGTCGACTCAGGTTCACAACTCAATTTGATATCCGATGCTATGGCTAACAAATTTAACATCAGTCCTTGAGTAAATTTCAGTTCGGCTGTCTATGGAACAGGAAACCAGGCTTGTGAGTTAGTAGGTGTTGCTGAAGATGTTCCCATTAGGATTGGACGTTCCATATTTGGTACCTGTCATTTTTGGATTACACGCTTGGACGGACCAATCATCCTTGGCCGACCTTTCTTGATCGATTTCGATGCAACCTTGACATTTTCTAGCCAGGCTGGGGAGAGGATCCTTCTTCCTGATTCAACTGGTCGGAGAATTGAGGTATCTTTATGTGCGACGGACTCGGGACGTTGGGAGCGTGAGTTTCCTGGAAAAGGGCGAAAGGCGGTTTTAACTCATAAAGGGAAAGCTCTCCAGGACCCGGATTCAGATTGGCATTTTTTATAGATTCAGTTGATCTGATTTACGGCAGTCTTAATGTCATCCTTAGAGCCAGCCAAGCTGGCCAAAAGACTGCTTAAGTCCTCCTTTTTCACTCCAGCTCCTACTGTAACTTTTTCATATTAATCTTTTATTACATTCTGAATTCAGAAATGAATTCCTCTCTTAATTTCAACCTTAGTCACCACTACACACTTTTACACTACTCTTCTCCTTCATAGACTTTGTTGTAATGTTTCACTGTACCTTGTGAAATATCAACCAAGTTAGAATTCCAACTCTCTACCACATGTACATGTTGTGATTATGTAATCCAACTCTGAAAATTCTCTCAGTAGACACTGAGTTCACATTTTCAGGATCTTCAGACTCCAGACCCACCCAGAACCAACTCAGACCAGAAATCAGCAAACCTCAACTTGGATTCACCACCATGTCATCGCCGTGTTATCGTTAGGAGTCCCTTACCTATTGGAATCTTCCCACTCATTGTGTCAGGATCACCAATATTTAAGTCATTCCTTCAAGTTCAGCTTGCATCTTTCTGCTAAGTTTCTTCTTTGTCTCTCTGAATGATTACTCCATTCTGTTTCTACTAAACCTCTGCCTCAAACTTCATTAGGGGGTATCAAATATAGCAAATCCACCTTTGCAAACCCGTCACTTATTTTTTTGAAATCCACAATTATTAATTGACGGGTTTCCAAAATCCACCTCCATCAACCCCAACGGGTTTTGAACAAAAAAACACACATCTTTTCACCCAAACCAGTCAATTAAAAAATCCCATTTGTTTCAACTCATATCACCGCCAAATTCCACTCGCACCACCAAACTTCACCTCATCAGCACCAGTCATCTCACCACCAAACTGATCATCTGACCACCAAACTTCACATCCATCAGCACCAATCATCCCACCACCAAACCATTCATCATCAACACCAAGATCGGCTCCACTCAAGTCCTCAAAAGCAATCATGCCCAAAGTATCGCGAAGAAAGAAAATAATCGAGGCAACCAACGTTGCTGCAATGGCCATGATGGACGATTCAGATTCAGACCAGGACTCCAAACTTGAAGAATTTTACTTTTTTTCTATGAGTCAGCTTCAAAAACGATACCTAGCAGCTCGAAACTCAACAACTCGATTTGATCCTCGTTATGACTTGTCTGAGCTTCAAGGTCTTCCAGAGTTAAGCTTTGTACAGATGTTTCGTATGACATTCCCTTGCTTCCTCAACCTGGTACAGCTCATCGAACCAAACCCCATCTTCTACAACAACTCTCGTAATCCCCAAAGGGACCCAGTCATCCAAATCGCTGTAGCAGTATGTCGTCTTGGATCAAATGGAAACGGTTCAGCTATCCACAGGCTCAAAAATCTGTTTCAAGTTGGATTTGGAACGATTGACCTGTATACTAGACGAGTCATTCATGCTGTTTATGGATTACGATCTTCTTTAGTCACTTGGCCTACCGAATCTGAACGAATAGAATCATCTCAGGTCATGCGAGAGGAAGGATTTCCTGGCTGTGTGGGATTTGTAGATGGAACGACCATCCCTTTGAGCCAGAAGCCGCCCAGCGATGGGCAACATTACTTTGATCGTAAGAAGAGGTTAGCTTTTTGATACTGCTCAATGATAAAAAAAATATCCCTTGTTGATTGATTCTTATTTGCTCTTGGCCACTTTGATCAGATACTCCATTTCATTAACGGTCATATGTGATATCAACAAAAAGTTCATTTCTTATTTGGCTGGATTTCCTGGCTCATCACATGATGCTTATGTGTTTTCGCACATGCAAGTGGCCCAACAACCTGAAAAGTACTTTGATCGAAAGCAATTCCTACTAGCAGACTCAGCCTACACCAACGATCGTTATGTTATCCCTGCGTTCAAAGGCAAGCATTTGCTCAAACGTCGGAACATCGATTTCAACTACCACTTAGCACAATCTCGAGTCAGGATTGAACACGCCATTGGCATTCTCAAAGGTCGATTTGCAAGCTTACGAGAAATTCGAACTCAAATCCGTAATGCGGAAGAGATGAAGGGCGCTGTGAAATGGATAGTTACTTGCATCGTTCTACATAATCTGCTGGCTGACCTCAAAGATCAATGGAATGATCTTTATGAAGATGAGGCTCCTGAAGACAGTGAAAGTGACTCCGATGATGACGATGTTCCAAATTATGATCTTAGAGCTAAGATGCGTGGAATCACACTGGCCCACTTTGCGTAGGTAAGTCTTTTCATTTGGTTTTGTTGGGCAAGTCATTAACAAACTACATGTTGAAGCCCCCGAAAGAATTTTTTTACCACCTATTTCACCCAGGATTTTTTTGACTCTCCATTTCACCGAAGGATTTTTTACCCCCCCATTTCAAATTCGACCATCCAGATTTTCAAATTCAACCATCCAGATTTCACTCCCCAAATAAATTCTTGAATTCAATCGCAAGCCTCCAAAAATCAACCCGCACACCTGCTCATTCACCCACCAACCAATCTTCCTTTGGACGTTGCACCTTAGTCAACCTCAGTGAGTATTTTTGTGCTTTTTTATCTTCAATCAAGACAGCTGATATTATATTCGATTTCACCCTGTGTACATATCAGCCCCATCAAACCCCCTTGTTGGTCGAATTGCATTGCTTTGACAATTCAAAAGTGAGAGCCAGTGTCCACTGATCCAAAGTTGTCTGAACAACGCATATGCATTATGCTGGGTCTGATTTGATCTCACTGCCCTGGTCTGCTTGTGTACTACATAGAAACTCAACCTCAACCAACTCGAACCTCAATTCCCTACTCAAGATTCTTCAAGCTTCTCGTTTCAGGACTCAAGATTCCTCAATCTTCCAGGATCGCCTCTGTATTCCAATCTCAATTCATACTCATCACGTTTCAGGAACGCCTCAATCTCTCTAGGCCCTCCATACTCCGTTTTTTTCGTTGGATCTCGTAACGTGGACGTAATCTCATCTCATCTCATCTGGTTCGTGATTCGTGGTTCGTGATTCGTGATTCGTGGTTCGTGGTTCGTGGGTCGTGGAAATTGCAAGGGTAAGTCCTTTACCCCTGCATGTACTCATCGCTCCTCTCCTCTCCCCTGGCTCTCCTCTCCGTTTGCTCTCCCCTCGGCTCGCTCTCCCCCCTCATCGTCACACTCCCCTCCCCTCTCTCTCTTCCCTCTCTCTTCTCCCCTCGTTCACCCCTCCCCTCT